AATGCTCTTCCCCCGGAGAGCTCTGTGGCCCGCTCCCTCCCTTCTTTTGGGTCTCAGATGAAATGACACTTCTTCCAACAAGCCTTCCAGGACTACCAGTCCAAGGCAGCCCCATGCCATCCCTCTCTACCCATCACCCCACTTAACCTTCTTTGTTACATTTAACCCTGGTGGTGCAGTGATTAAGGACTCCCTGGTGGTGTAGTGACTAAGCACTGTGCTGCAAACCAAAAGGTTGGCGGGTTGAACCCCCCAGCCACTTCATGGGAGAAAGATGTGGCAGTCTGCCCCCATAGATGTACTGCCTTGAAAACTCTATGGGGCTGTTTTATTGTCCTATACAGTTAACTGTGAATCAACTTGATGGCAGTGAGGGTTTTAGGAATTCTGGTGGCACAGTGGTTAAAGCATTCACCTGCTAACTACAGGGTCAGTGGTTCGAACCTACCAGGCGCTGCATGGGAGAAAGATGAGGCAACCTTAGGAACCCCAAGGGACAATTCTACTCTATCCTGAAGAGTTGCTGTCAGTCAGAATTGATGCGATGGCTGTGGGTTTCGGTTTTGGGTTATAATGACCTTGTTTGTACTTCCATGTTTTTCTTGTGCACCTCCTTTCTGGAATGAGGCCTTTCTGAGGGCAGGGACCTATCAGTCGAGTTTGCTCTCTGTGTCACTAATGTTTAGGTTAGTCTTTGGCACATACTGTATCTTCTGGAAAATTTGGTTTACTGGATGAATTAACTACTGTCACCCAGGACTAATTTCTTCAGGCTGTAACAAAAATGTGGAACTAGACCATTGACTTTCCTGGCTAAGGGTCCTCGTATAAATCCATTGGTTGCCTTGTTAGTTGTCATCCCATCCCATAGACAGTGGATTTCCTGAGTGGGGCCCTTGTTTTACTCACTACTGAATCCCTTGTGCTTGGTAGAAAGTTGAACACATGGGTGAATGAGTGAATGAGTGAAAGGGAGGACTCTGAGGCTCTTGTCTGGCTCCAACCAGACCCATCTTGGGTCTCTCTTATATGCTAGGGTTCTTTGTAAGGTTTTAGTTAATTTCTGCCCTTGATAAACTCTACCTTCCTTTCTCTTTTAACAGCATGTGCTTTGAGTTGTCTCCTAGGGCATTTTCTTTTTCTTCCAGGTGTCTAGTATTATAAAGAGGGGACAAACAGAAGGGTTGGGTTGGTGGTCTTCTTCAAAAAACCTGGTGATCAAGAGTCTTCTTGGTGACAAAGTGTGTGCTGCATGTGGGAGAACCCCATTTTAGGAGATCTTGGGTTATACTCATCCTCGCAACAACCTAGTGAGGCTACTGTTGTTATTCTGTTTTGTGGATGAAAACAGTTGAGGCTCAGAGAAGTCCAGTAACTTGCTGGGAGGCTCACAGCCAGTGAGTGGAGAGCAGAGTGTGAAACTCAGGTCAGCCCACTTGAGTTGAGGGACTTCGGGGGTCTGAGCAAGGATGGGTGGTGGGATCAAGAACAGCCCAGTGCACTCTTGGTGTCAGTTGATCAGCCTCGCTGTCTCTCCACCCAAAGTAGTGACCGTGTCTGTTGGTCTGTCCCAGGCCCGCTACGTCCAGGCCAAGCTAAGCGTGCATGACCGCTCCCTCAAGGTGGCCACAGTGATTGAAAGCCTGGAGATGGAGATGGAGCTGCTCTGTCTGACGGGTGTGGAGGACCAGCTGCAGGCAGACGTGAGGCCCACGCTGGAGACCCTGCGGAACGCCGGCATCAAGGTAGGTGAGCCTCCCTGAACAGCCTGCCGCACAGTTATACCAGCACCCCTTTAGCAAAGTATAAAAATGTGAAGGGGGGGAGAGAGAGTAAAAGTGAGAAAGGGGACTCGGAGCAGGGCACGCATGAACAGTGTCCTTCAACCCTATCTAGGCCACTCCCCACCATACGCCTTCACAGTGCCGGTCATTTCCTGTAGCCGTCCTCTTCACCCGTTTGCTCTGCTTGCCTGTCTCACTCACCACACTCAGCTTCGTAATGGAAAGGCCCTTGCCTGCCTTCTCCTTACCACCAAGCAGTGTCCAGACATGGAGGTGTTTGTTGGAGAGATGTTGGCCAGTCTGTCAGCCTGGACAGGCGAGAGAGTTACAGACCACCCAGTGGCGTGACCATCTGCATCAATAAGCAGCTGCATCTACCTTGTGTTCTCTCCAGTTGGGGCCAAAAAAATATATATCCAGGGCAACGATGTCAGGGGTTCATCCAGCCCCCATAGCTCCAGAAAATGTGGAGTCTGTTAAGAATTTGAAATTCTGTTCTGAATTTTCCCCCTTTTGATCAGGATTCTTGTATGGAATCTTTGATCAAAACATTCAGTGATGGTAGCTTCTTGAGTGTGGGGGAAGCATAAACCTTAAACCAAAAATATCCCTCAAGTGTTCTTACAAGCAAGCAGTTAACCTTAACTGGGAAAGATGGTCAGCCTTGAGCACTGTGCTCTTCTAAGAACTATCTCCATGGGATCAAAGTGACAGCAGCGACTCAAAAGATTGGATGGAAAGCTTCGGGAGCAGAGGGTTTAGGTCAGTGGGGGAGGAACAGCTCAGAAAGGGAGGGTGAGCAGTGCACAACTGAAGGATGTAATTGGCGGCACGGATTGTGTGTGCAGCAGCTGTTGAATTGGTGTCAGTTTTGTTGTGTCTGCAGGCGCCCCTGATATCCCAAAGTAGAACATTCCAGTGAAACCCTGTGCAAGTCGAAATGACGTCAAGGGAGGAAGCAGTTAACGTTAATTTATATAGGAAAAGGCTTTTATTGTTCCTGGACCCAAAAAATAACCTACCAAATCATACCAAATAGCCCATAAAACCTAAAATAACACTAACATAGAGTATTCATGAAAGAGTGCGGCATTTGACTACTGATCACAAGGTCAGCAGTTGAAACCCACCACCCTCTCTGTGGAAGGAAGATGGGGCAGTCTACTTCCGTAAAGATTTACCACCTCAGAAACCCAGTGGGGGTCGCTGTAAGTCTGAATCAACTCCATGGCAGTGACTTAGGGGTTTTTTTGGGTAGTGATTGAGTAGTGGTTTTTTTGAGGGGGAGTAGTTCAAAGCTACGGCAGCTGGATGCCAAGATGCCGAATATCGTTCCCAGGGAAGGAGCTTGGCTGCCGGTTTTGCTGCTCGGTTGTGCACTGCACTGCCTTTTAAAGGGCTCGCTGCAAAACAGATGCTGAACGCTAGTTGTGCTTTTTACCTTTGTTTGTAAAAGCAAAATTCACCTTCAAATTTGTTTTGATTGGTAAAAACAGGTACTAAGGTAGGTTAGGTGATATCTGTATCCCTAACAGCGTGTGTATTGTATATGTGTATATCTCACTCTCTCTCATCTATGATAATATAACACATTGTTATGTGCTGTCAACTCACAGCGACCCCTCCTTGGGTTTCCAAGGCGGTATCATTACGGAAGTTGATTGCCCAACCTTCCTTCCGAGAACAACATACATACGTACGTACATACGTACGTACATACGTACACACACATGTGCGTACGTACATACATACATACGCACACACGTACATACGTACACATGTACATACGTATACACACGTGCGTACACACATACGTACATACATACGTGCATACGTACACACATACGTACATACATACATAGTACATGCATACGTACATACATGCACACACATACGTACATACATACGTACGTACATACATACATACATACATATGTACATAGATGTGGTAGTTTAATCAGAGGCCAGCAGAGGGTGCTGGATGCCAGGCTTTATTTTAAGGGACCCACCCCCCACCAAAGCGATTAAAAAAAAAAAAAAAAAACTCACTGCATCAAGTTGGGTCTGACTCTCATAGTGGCCCCTCCTTGGGTTTCCGAGGTGGCATCACTACAGAAGTAGATTGCCCAGTCTTCCTTCTGAGGAGTGGCTGGTAGGTTTGAACTGCCAGCCTTCTGGTTAGCAGTCAAGTGCCTTAGGCACTGTGCCATCAGAGCTCCCTCCCAAAGTGATGGCAAACTCAATTTCTAAATGAAAATCTATTCAGAACTCACCGGCTGGAGCTCCTTCTGTGGCTTCTAGAAGCTGCTCCTCCTGGTTCCTTTCTCAGGGCTTGTTCTCTTACATCCAGCCCGCAGAATTACTTACCAAACTAGAAAGTTTCGAAGGATATTGGTTCCCAGATGGCATATTGAGGGAGGACTGGGACACAGCAGGGTCTGCCCCGGAGGAGATGGTACAAGACAGTCCCCTGCCCAGACGTGCTCAGTGCTTCCTTCTGGGCGTCCTCCTGCCTGGGTTTGAACCCTGGCTGACTAAGATGCCGACACTACTTGGTGCCTGTTTCCTGCCTCAGAAAGTAATCGTGAGGATAAAAAGCATCTGGACAGGAGCAGCATTTGGGTGGGTGTCAAGAAACATACTTGTCCTTTTCTTTCCTGGGTGCCCCCCACTGTCAAGATGTCCTTTGCCTGATACCTGCCAGTCTCCTCCGTGGTGAGAAGAGACGATAAACAGGTTCGATGGTAAAACAACAGAGTGGGAAGTGCCTTCCATACAGACTCTAAAGACCTCAATTCTGGGCCTGGTTAGGGCAGGCAGGAGCTAGCTGTGTGGCTTAGAAGCAAATTCCTGACCTCTCTGAGCCCACAGCAGTGGAGTACAAAATTATCTGATACAAGGTGGAAGAATCCAGTGATGTGCTGACAGTGTTTCATATGTGGCTTTAATCCCCACGAGACCCTTGTCTTGAGCAGCCAACCCTGTAGAGAGCCCATCATGTCAGCCATTATTGTTTCTGTAGTACAGTGAGGTGACCCTCACGCATATAGCTTTTCCCTTTTTTGGGGTTATTACTTCAAGAAAAACCCCAGGAAGGGGGATTTCATACAGCTTCTGAAGCGCCCCCCAGTGTCCTTCTGGGATCGTCCCACTGGCATTCGCCACCACAATGTGCTGAGCTCGGGTCTCAAAGCTGTTGAACCAGGGCATTTCCTGTGGTATGTCGGGAATACCATGGTTCTCTGGGAGATAAATGGAGCATATTGAGTTCAGTGCAATGTTCTTGGAAACTTAGCTGACACAGTTGACAGGCCGCCCTCCAAAACTAACAAACAAGACCTCTTTCATGCCGTAATTCCAGGTTTGGATGCTGACAGGGGACAAGCTGGAGACCGCCACATGCACAGCGAAGAATGCACATCTGGTGACCAGAAACCAAGACATCCACATCTTCCGACTGGTACAGCATTCTCTGTGTCGGGGCCACGTGGGTGTGACACCGGGGGCTGCCCTGCAACCTCAGAGCCTCCAGCCGGCCCTCAAGAGGGGAGGGGGAAGCAGGCTGACCACCTAAGTTTGGGGGAGTGTCACCCATCCCTGGTCTGGGTGGAGTTACTGAATGGCCCAAGCAAAGGCTGAAGAATTCCTTCTGGGAGTGATTTAGGAATACCTTCGAAGTCCTTGGATGGTGCGAATGGCTAAGCACTAAGCTGCAAAACGAAAGGTTGGCTGTTTGAGTCCATCCAGAGGCGCCTGGACAGAAAGGCCTGGTGATCGCCTCTGAAGGATCACAGCCACTCGAAGCCTTGTGGGCGCAGTGCTCCTTTCAAACACATGGGGCCACTGTGAGTCAGAATGGGTGGAGGGCAGCCTGTTGGGTGTGTTAGTTACAGCCCTGCCTGTGTTAATGCCATGCTCTTAGCCTCAGGGTGTGGGGGGGTGATTCATGAGAAGCCGATGAGAGTTAGGGACTGTCCCTTGACAGATGCAGGTAAGTTCACACACGTGAAATTGTGCAGCACTTCGTTGACTCCCTGTAGGCCACGGCCTTGCGGAAATAAAGCCCAGGCCCCAGGTGCTGGCCTGTCTGCCCTCCCCAGGGGGAGCACTGGGCACTGGCTGGGACCTTTTGTAGGAGCTGAAAGGGGTGTGCAGATGAGAGACTTCCTGCCCTGGTGGTAAGCGCTTGACCGAAATAGTGAACGCATTACAAGCTGGAGGCTTGAACCACTGGACTCTTAAGTGGCTTTATTGAGTTAGGGAGGTAGGGACACTGGATCCCCCTTTGGTTCAGGATGTGACAGTCCTACTGAAATTGAAGCCAAGAGGCCAAACACCTGGAGGGACTTGAGGTGTCATGGGGGTCTCCTCTTTACTCCTGCCTTTGACCTAACATGCAGAAGCTTCCAGAAATCCTGCAATGCTTGGAATAACACAGAAGGTGTTGCTAAGAACAGAGACCATCTAGAAGGCAAGGGTTGGCAGACCACTGCCCTGGGGCCTAAGGTCTCTTTGTAAATAAAGTTCCAACAGGACACACATTCTCATTCACTTAATGCCTAAGGGAGCTTTCCCACACCGATGGCAGAGCGCGACAGGGCCTGTGTGGTCTGCAAAGCCTGGGGTGTTTCCTCTCTGGGCCTTTACAGAGAGGGTGGGCCAGCCCTTGCTGCCTGTCTTGTGGTTGGCTGCCCCCCAGGTCTGCGCTGCTCCAGGCAGGCCAACCGCTTCACACCTGGGAGTTCTCATGTGGACACAGAGCTGCCATGACCATGCTCCTCCCAGAGCTGTGGGAAATGAGGAAATCCGGGAGTGCTGGGTACTGTGCCTGGGACACCTCCAGCGGGATTTGGTTAAGTGGGTGGCACCAGGTGCTCCCGATTCTGGGAATCGCAGTGGACCAGATTGAATTTTGCTGTGTTGGTGGCAGGGGAGAGGCCAGGGTGGCCCTTGTCTCTGAGCCAGCTTCGGGAAGCTGCCGTCTGTTGTTTGAGCCCTCTCTGTTCCCGTCCAGGTGACCAACCGTGGGGAGGCCCACCTGGAGCTGAACGCCTTCCGCAGGAAGCACGACTGTGCCCTAGTGATCTCGGGAGACTCCCTGGAGGTGGGTGCCGGGAGCCCGGGGGCGGGGCCTCGGGGAGCTGCTTCAGCCACAGCCTCTCCCTCCGTGCTCCCCCCAGGTCTGCCTCAAGTACTATGAGTACGAGTTCATGGAGCTGGCCTGCCAGTGCCCAGCCGTGGTGTGCTGCCGCTGCGCGCCCACCCAGAAGGCCCAGATCGTGCGTCTGCTCCAAGAACGCACGGGCAAGCTCACCTGTGCAGTCGGTAGGCAGGGCTGGGGCGGGAGGGTGGGTGCGTGGAGGGGCAAGGGAGTGGCAGGGGTGGGAGGCAGGTGCTGGGGGGAGGGGAGTGGTTGGGAAGCTCCCCTGTGCAGTACGTAGGCGGGGATTCGGGGTTGGGGGTGAGGGGTAGGTGAAGGGGGGACAAGGGGGCAGGGGAGTAGCAGGGGTGGGAGAGGCAAGGTGGGTGATGGTTGGGGAGCTCCTCTGTGGAGTTAGGTAGGTGAGGTGGGGCGAAGGGTGGAGGGTGGGTGGCAGGGGTGGGAGAGAGGTGTTGGGGGAGGGGGTGTTTGGG